ATCTGCCTACTGTCGTTGTCTTCCTCGTCAAAACGGTGTAACGTCCTTCATTCCCATGCAGCTTCTCCTTTTCTTATTTCTTCGTTTTCTTCATCATGTCTTAATGGCACTTAAAGGCATTCTTCTCTCTACAGCCCGCCGCTGCGCTCTCACAATTCTTCATCTTGCTTCGTTAGTGTAAACTCTAGCATTCATACATAGCTGTTGGTAAAACCGTGCTTTCATGCACAGTACGTACGACTGACCTCAAACCACACCGATTAAAATATTGGATTTGGCAGAAATGAAACTAGCAAAAAATCCATTCCAATTTGTGCCACCAGGTGTGGAGTATGGATAGTTACTCAAAGTTGACAACTTATATGTATGCCGTCCATGACGCAGCTTACCTGCAAGCTTCAATGGACCCTTCTGCACGTTCTGAAACTTCTTCAGTTTCCAGCGGCAAGGGAAGCACATCAGGAACGCCACGGCAAACTGCGAAAGTGATGTTCTGCTGCGGAAACAGACTGAGGACAAAGAAGTCTGTGCGAGGTCCCTGCAACCGTAAGGCAACCAGTTTATGTCCACCGGGTCGGGCTGCGAGCGGCGAGCATCATCTTCAGTCCAGGCGCTCTTTCAATAAATCTGATATCTGTGCCCATCGTTGTTTACGGATCCAGATGTGTATGAAATTGAGGTCTATCATAAATTGCGACTGAATATGACGTTTCTTGTCAACAGCTGTGCCTCAGCTATCATCCAGATTGCTTCCGCTTCTCTCATCGAATTGGAACCGTAGCTATGATGCATTCGTTAACCGTCTGCTGTCTAAGACTGCCTCATTATGATTGTTTATGAGAATTGGATGCATGCGAAACCAGCACTGCATGAGCCAAAACACCATAAAGCTATGGTCTGCTTAAATGACTCCCTTGATCATGGGAAGCAAAGGACTGTGCACATATGCCGTGTAAATACGGAACTGACAGGAAAATGTTATTTCCATAGCGGCAGTATCGAAAACTAGTAGTTTGCTTGCAGACCCATAAGATCAGAGTTAATTTTCATGGAAATATTTATTGTTTTAATTATTCATTTTTAATTTGCATTGTACATCAGCGGTTTTATATTCGAAGCGAGAAAATACCGCTGAAAAGCAATTGCTCTTGTAGCTGACATAGCGTAATGAACTTGAGATCGAAATCAATAACTCGCTTGTCGTCAACGACCCTACCCGAGGCGGAATTCGTTATTTGCTTTTGCACAACATCACAAATATGGATTTATCCTCCAAGGATATTCTAATACGCGCATCACTCCACAAAATTGAGTTTTCCGATGTTGTGGCAGCACTGGACGAGTCAGATGCAACTAATTATCATACATAGAAAAATACCTGAGGTCATAGAATGTTTGAATAATCAGCCCATGGAATTCCGGAGTATAAAGGCAATGTAAAGAAGCCGTTAGATATAATTTCACGGGGGATGATTATTAATTTAACCGAATCGCTTAATTTGATGATTTCGTTTTTCGCATTATTTCAATATCAAATGATTTTCCATGCTCGTTTCCTTACAAACGTAACATTCAGTTCTGATCAAGGTAGCACTCTGTCAGAAAAAAAAATATTTAACAATTTTTCAATTTTCTTAGCCTTCTAGGCCCGTTAAGAATTTGTATCACATGCTGCGTAGTATGGAGGATATGGCATTGCAAATTTACATGTTGTTGGACATTGACTTGGCTATCTGAGCTCTTTTACCCACATATGATATTTCATAATTAGTACGATGCCATACACTCTGTACTACGTAGTACTACATATGGACCATATTTCAGAATGCCATATTTATGCTGTGTTGTATAGAAGTATAGAATGCAAAACGTGGTGCTTATTACGAAATGTCCTACAAAGGTGAAAGAGATAAAGCAGGTATGCGAGGTTCTGCCTTTGGTACTGTAATATAAAGTCTATGCTACGCAGCAAATAATACATAGTATCGTTCTTATTGCATAATATCGCATACGGAAACAGACTCTGATATTTGAACGACTCCATCCCTATGTGAAAATAGCTACAGTTTAAAAACCACCAATGCTAGGTGAATCTCGCACTACTTCATTAGCTGAAGCTGCCAATTCAAGAGCTGAATTTTTCCTGAAGCTGTGGCCTGACTCATCGATATCTCAGGAAATAAAGGAAAGACTGCCGTCAAGAAAAATAAAATCTTTTTTTTAATATGAGTCATGCGATTATTCATATAATCCCATATCTTTAACAACATCAACAGAAAAGCAAACTTCATGCAATAAAAGATCAAAGGAACGAGTACCAGACGGTGAGAAAAGGCATGATCAAGAATTAGAAAATTTCTGCACACTCCCTTGCCTTCTAAGAGACTACATACCGTTTTCATTGCCGAAATCCTTGAAGACTAGTGACTCGCTGGCGTTCAGTGCTTCCAATAGTCAGAAACTATTAATAAACCCTACCCTCATTTGGAGGATAAATGTCATGAATGAGTTCGTCATGTTTCTTTGTGAGGAACACATAGACAACGAGGTTTTTTGTGACTATTCCATCGATTTGATTTCCTCAAAAACAGGACGACCGCTTGCTAGACAGTAGGGAAGACGAAAGCTCAGTACTGAACCACTTTGGTTTCAAATATGCAAAAGCTCATTGCGGGATGGCACCACATAATAACTATTATTCCACGTTTCTGATCGTTCTCTATTCCCTGTTCACAGCGTGATGTCAAGCAAACCAAAAGTGAGAGCAGAGTACAGTAGAGGATGTGCAGTGAAAAGTCGG